TGCTCAACACCACACAAGTACACTAAAGTGCCCAAATCAGGGTATTGTTGCTTCTAACACTTTGACCTATTGAAACCTGCATTGCTGTACTGAGTCTGTTAATTCCAATTATTTTCTTATTATAAGCCTAGGTATTTTTATATAGTGTGTGCTCACCTCAGAGTTCTCTTTTGTTCTCATGATTTTCATGTTGACAGACCCCTTCCATTTGCTATAATTAGATTGCATGTAATTGTTTAGTTGTTGATGAAAAACTATTTTTATAATATAAATTTCTTGATGGAGAGGAAGTCAGGATACTTATCTACTTGGCATCTAAACCTGATTATAAAATTGTCATGTTATGCGGGGTTATTTACGCATTGCTTATGTTAGATGATTTTTTAAAGGTAAAGGTTATTAATCTTTTTAGTAACCCTTAGTAGCAACTCTATTTTCCACATAGCCTTTTCCCTTTTTTTTGAGATAGGATCTCACTCCATTGCCTAAGCAAGAGTACAGTGGCGTCTTCATAGCTCGCAGCAACCTCAAACTCTTGGGCTCAAGCAATACTCTTTCATCAGCCTCCCTAAGTAGCATGTGCTGTAATACCTCACTAATTAAAAAAAAATTTAATGAAATGAGGTCTCAGTGTTGCCCAGGCTGATCTTGAACTCCTAGTCTCAAGTGATCCTCGCGCCTTGGGCTCCCAGCCTTTTCCTTTTTTATTACCTGATTAAAAACAGTTGATCTCTTTGTATACTTAGTAATTTGCTGTTACTGATTATATAAAAAGAAGATCTAGAAATACCAGGATTTTCTTTAAATTATTTATTTCTTATTTTAGGAAGACAAACACTATTGTCTGAAGTTGGAATAATCATTTGTGATATCACTAATCCAGCCTCACTTGATGAAATGGCTAAACAGGCAACGATTGTCCTCAACTGTGTAGGACCAGTAAGTAATCAACCCTTCTTTGTATGAGAACAAACAGTGCATTCATTTCTAGCAATATCTGGTGTTTTATATTCCAGAGGAACATAAGGTCAGAGGACAGCAGCGTTGGTTGAAGGCCTTAACCCCATATGGGAAGTTTTTTCTTCTTGTGAAGAGTCAATGAGTATAACCAGAGTCTCCTGAAAAGGGGAGTAATAGGCTCTCTGTAACTCCGTACTCAGGGAATGTGTGCTGGTTTAAAGTTTGTTCATGGGTGCAGCTATGCTAGCTAGACTTCTTTTTTTTTTCTGTACGGTACACTGTTGCAATAAATAGTGTTCGTGTGTACCCCTTATGTTTTTTTATTTATTTATAAATTATATCCATGTATTACTTAACAAATATATATGTTAACATGCACAAAAAATAAGGACTAAAAAGGACTTGTTCATTTATTCAGTATTTATTGAAATGTTTACTATATATAAAATGTACTATTCCAGGCACCTGGGACACAAAACAGAAAATCCTTCTTGGAGCTTACATTCTTGTAGAGGAGACAGAAAAATAAGATTGTGATAGTAGGTAGTGGTGAATTCTTTGAAGGAAAATGAAGCAAAGGGGATAAAGGAACAGGTATATCAGTGTTTGGTAGATGGGTGATCCGGGAAGGTTTCTGTGAGTAATTGACATTCTGAGCAGAGATCTGAATGCACTTTCTCACTTCATTCAGATCTCTGCTGAATATCTGAGGACAGGATGTTTCGGTGAAAGCAGGTACAAAGGTCCTGATCTGACACTGTGCTTGGCAAGACTGAGCAAGGTGCGAGAAACAGCATGACAAGGCCAGTGAGCAGGGCAGAGAGCTGGAAGGCCAGGGTCAAGATTTGGATTTTCTTCTACGTGTGACAGAGAGTCATTGAGTGGTCCAAAGCAAGTGGATGATCTGATTTAATTTTGAAGTTCGTTGGCTTCTGAGAGGAAAAATAGATAATAAGAGACTAACAATGGTCTAAGCAAGACAAGCACCGGGATAGTAGCAGTGGAGGTAGTGGGAAGTGGTTTGGTTCCAGGTATATTTCAAAAGGAAAACAGCTTTCTTTACTGTGCTGGATATGACAGAGAGGTATCAAGGGTAACTTCTAGGCCTTTTGCCCACTTAACAAGGTGCATGTTGGTTACATTTACTTATCTGAAGAAGCCTTTACAGTTGGCATGACGTTGAAAAGTAAGCATTTACAATACTAATTTTTTATTGAGAACAAAAAGGTTTTGAATTGTTATTAAATAAAAATATTGTTGAGATTTATCTCATTCTTAATTAGCTTCTATTCCATCCATTAGGTCCATTGCTGTAATCACTGTGTAATGTGCACCCTCAACTGACTGCCTTGTCCTTCTCTCCCCAGTGGAAAACCCCCAACCCTGGCTATTGTAACTCTCTGCTTACTCTTCACTCACAAACATGAGTAATGCAGCTAGAGAAAAGCACATCCCATGCTGACTGACACTTCAATATGTGGTTACAAACCTCATGCGGGACTCAGGACCTACAGCCATCCTGCTCTCCCTGGGCTAGTCTCCCCTCCAAGGACATTTTACAGCTTCCTTTTCCTCACACTTTTGGCATCCAGTCTTTGTCTTTGATCTGATGATTTTATTTCTTTTTTCCCTATGAAAATAGAAGCTGTTCGAACAGAATTTCATCTTCCTACCTCCAGATCAGCTCACCTGCCTACCTGCACTGTGAACCGTGCACTTTACATTACCTCTTTTTTGTTGTTGCAGTTTTTGTCTGGGGCTGGGTTTGAACCCGCCACCTCTGGTATATAGGGCTGGCACCCTACTCTTTGAGCCACAGGCGCTGCCCTCCCTTACTCTTACTAGACGGAAAAACTGCTCTTGTCCCTATTGGGTGTGGTATTTGAAGACTTTACATTTATAGTTACACATTTTCTTTTTTTTTTTTTTTAATATGGACTGCTTCACAAACTTGTGTCTCATCCTTGTGCAGAGGCCATACTAATCTTCCCTGTGTCATTCTAATTTTAGTATATGTGCTGCCCAAGTGAGCACAGTTACACATTTTCTTTTCTTTTCTTTTTTGCAGTTTTTGGCTGGGGCTGGGTTTGAACCCACCACCTCCGGCATATAGGGCTGCTGCCCTACCCCTTTGAGCCACAGGCATCCCCCTACACATTTTCCTGTTACCCTATTTTCTCTATTTACTGACTTATTTCTATCAGTATTCATGTATATGTGTGTGTGTGTGTGTGTGTGTGTGTGTGTGTGTAAATATGTATGTATGAGTGAGATGAGGTCTGCTATCTTGTCCATGATGGACTCAAACTCTAGCCTTAAACAGTCTTCCTGCCTCAGCCTCCAGAGTCTGTCAGCGTTTAAATATGTCATTATATCTCTCATCTTTTAAAAAATTTACCTTGATTCTAGTAACCCCTCCAACTACATTTTTATGCCCCCACTCTTTCTTTAGCAAATCTCTTTGAAAGAGGTCTCATTACTCACTGTCTCTGCTTCCTCACTTCCTGCTCTACAAGTAATCCTCTCAGGTTTTTATTATCCCCCCTACTCTAATGAAACTTCTGGCAAGATCCCCTCCTCTCGAATCTAGTTACCAATTCTCAGTCCTCGTCTTAATCAAAGCTTTCAGCATTTGATCCACTTGATCACGTTCTCCTTCACTTGGCTTCTGCTTTCTCACTTTCTCCTAGTTTTCTTCCTGTCCACCAGGTTCATCCTAGAAGTCTTTGTAGTATCTTTTTATTCTCCTCCTTCTAAATGCCTGAGGCCTCAGAGTTTAAGCCTTGAAACTCAGCAACCTCATTTACACCTTAGGTTGCAGTATGCGGACTGAATGAATGAGGGTGTCACTGTGGCCCCTTGAGGACACCTGTTGTATCCTCCATTTAACACATGACCACTTGACGTGGCCCATTGAATGTGTTGCAGTCAGCCCATGTGTTAACTATTAATAAAAGTTCAGTTTTTGTGTTTTCTATAAAAAATTAGCATGAATAAACGCTCCAGTATTTACTTCTACACTCAGTGGATCATTTGTGTATCCCCTGGAAGTACACAGATGTGTACTAGGGAGACCACTACACTGGGTTGAACATTGAGAAGAGGATTGTAATTTTGACCTCTATGCTAATTGGCTTCACAGGGGAGAAGTGTCCCCTCTGAGATGAAGGATTGCTACTCTGACCTTGTTCACTTACCTTATACAAGCACGAGTTACTAAGTAGAGAAAAATCTAACAACGTAATAAAATAGGGATAAGAATTCTCAACCTCAGATTACCCAAAGGAGAAGTGGGCCAGGTGTGACAAAATACAGTGTAAGGGTAGGTGAACTGTGGCAAATAGGAAAATATGTACTCTTTCCAGAAAGAGCTATTATTATTTTAAAAAGCTCATTAATGGGAGCAAATATCTATTCAAGACCTTGCTTTAAGGCTGGACACAGTGGCATGCCTGTAATTCTAGCATGTGGGGGGCCAAGGCAGGTGGATCCCTTGAACTCAGGAGTTCAAGACCAGCCTCAAGAGTGAGTCCCGCATCTCTACTAAAAATAGAAAAACTAGCTGGGCATTGTGGCAGTGCCTGTAGTCCCAGATGCTTGGGAGGCTGAGGAAGGAGGCTCACTTAAACCCAGGTGCTTGAGGTTGCTGTAGGCTATGACGACGCCATGGCATTCTACCTAGGACAACAGAGTGAGACTCTGTCTGAAAATAATAAAAAGCTCATTAATGCTTTGCTGCAGCTTCTCAGTACTTGTAATGAACTGACTGAGACACAAGGAGTGAACCTGAGGCTCTGAGTCTGAGCCTGGCGGAGTTAGGCATTAAGCAGGCAGGTGGGCAGGCATGAGAGGGAGGGAGGATGTCCCAGGCAGTAGAAGCAAATACACTGGACATGAAGAAGCAGCATGTTCAGGGAACTATGGGGAGTTTAGAGCTGCTGAGCTGACATGATGACATAGCTGAGCTAAATGGGAATTAAGGAGCTGACATGATGCTTGAGGACGGTTTGTGACATGCTGAGTAGTTTGGGCTTTATATTATAGGCACTGGACAATTGGTGAAGGAGTTTGAGAGTGTATGTATTATAGGGGTGGGGCAGGAGAAAAGGCAATATCCAATTTTTGTTTTAGAATAACAGTTTGGTATTTCTTGGGAGATGGGGCTAAATTTGTTGCAGTGAAACCAGCTAGAAGTAAATTAGGTAAGGGATGACATCTGTAGTAAATTAGGTAAGGGATGACAGGGTCTGAACTAAGCTTTGTATAAGTAGAGAAAAGAAGGATTTGAGATATTTTCAGGAGATATTTTTAGAGGACTGGTTTGATAAAAACTGGTAAAACAGGATAGGTAGAGTGAAAGCTTTCAGGTTTTAATCTGAGAATTGTGTGAAGGGTAATGCTCCACACATAATAATGAAAAAGAATAAATCGGATGTTATGTACGTGGCACTGTGCTAAGCTCTTTTGTATGCTCTTAATCCATCCTCAGAACAACCTAGTGAAGGAGTGTTATTATTATCTCCATTTTTTTCATGAAGAAATTGAAACTTAGGTAAAGAACCTTGCCCAAGGTCACACAGTGAGTGCGTGCAGAGTTTGGAGTTAAGCCCATGCTCTAGATTGCTGCGCTGTTCAGCCTTCTGTACAGTTTTGTCTCAGTCTTCCCTCCTTAGTACCTCAGAAAAGATGTTGGAAGTGAGACCTAGGCAGGCCGAACTAAAGGCTGCACTTTGAATCACGTGCTAGAGGCCGATGCAAAGAAACAGGTTTAGAGGGGAAGATGAAATTCAGTTTTGGACTTGTTGAAACTGAAGTGTCTGCTAGATAACTTGTGTTAAGACAAGAAAATACATACAACATAGGGGGATCTTTTTTTTTTTTTTTTTTGAGACAGAGTCTCACTGTGTCGCCCTGGGTAGGGTGCTCTGGCATCACAGCTCATAGCAACCTGCAACTCTTGGGCTTAAGCAATTCTCTAGCCTCAGCCTCCCAAGTCGCTGGGACTACAGGTGCCCACCACAACACCCGGCTATTTTTTGGTTGCAGTTGTCATTGTTGTTTAGCTGGCCCAATCTGGGTTTGAACCCACTAGCCTCAGGGTATGTGGCTGGTGCCATAACCACTGTGCTATGGGCACTAAGCCAGGGGGATGTTTCTTAAGTAAGTGAGAAGTTCATGGTGAAGAGAAAATAATGGAGGGGAGGAGGTAGCCAAAGTGTAATTAGTTTCATGTATGAATCATGCTGTGCTATCACTGGTCCTGATCTTTCTGATAGAAACTGCCGATAAGGAAACCTTTTTTATTTCCTTGTTTTTGGTTTTTTCTTCTTTTTATTTCCTTACTTTTTCTTTTTTGTTGTTGTTGTGGCAGAGTCCCATCCTATGCCCTGAGCAGAGTGCAATGGCATCATAGCTCACTGCAACCTCAGTCTCAGGCTGTGGGTGTCCTATTGCCTCAACCTCCAGAGGCCACTGGGATACAGGCACTTGCCATGGCGCCTGGCTGGGTTTTTCATTTTTTATGAATTAGGGGTCTCACTCTTGCTCAGATAATCTCAAACTCCAGGTGTGAGCCACTATACCCCTCACCTCCCGCAAGGAAACCTTTTCAGTGAGCAGCTCTGGAGATAGAGGTTGGCAGTCATCAATGCCCATGTTGGTGAAGTTAAGAGAGTAGGTGAGGTTTGCCAGGAGAATGCCTAGGGCAGTGATTCTACATTTCCAAAGTACGCACGAATCACCTGTAGGTTTATTTAAAATGCAGGGTACTAGAGTCTCCCTCAGAAAGCCCGTTTGAGGGGATCTTAGGTAGGACTGAGTAAACAACGTGTGGCCCAGGTGATGCTAAAGCAGGTAGACTACTGGCCAACTTGAGAAACTTTGAGGTAATATAACCAAGGGACAGGCCAGAGAGAGTTCCGGATGAGTTTAAAGTAGGAATGTACAAGCCCTAAGGATTACCCAGGTCTGTGTCCATTGGGTGCAGAAGGAAAATAGAACTTTGACTGTTTTTTTTAATCTCAAATTTATTTCTGTTTTATGTATGTTTAAATGTATATTTTGTTCAGATGGTAGTCCATTTAAGTGATTTGTAAATAAATTCATATGGTTAGTAAATGATGGATTGAAGGTGTGAACTTTGGTCTTGCTCCCTTGAAAGCCCTTATCCATTCCATTATATCACATTGCCTCCGAAGTTAAATACTTCACTAATTTTCCGTGGTTAGTTAACGGCAGGGAAGGAACTACAGTTTAATATACTTCCCTGAGTCCAGTAATCCCAGTGTTATCTGCCATTCTTAGTAAGAGGAGTGAGGCCATGGAGTTAGGGGAAGAGGATAGCCCATTTGACCTACTTGTAAAGGTCAGTCCTTGCATCGCCCTATCATTTAAGTCTCCCTTTGCCTGGCTATTTTTTGTTGTTGTAGTTGTCGTCGTTTTTAGCAGGCCCAGGCTGGGTTTGAACCCGCCAGCCCTGGTGTATGTGGCCAGTGCCCTAACCACTGAGCATAGGCGCCGAGCCTGAATCACTTTTTCTATAAAACTTTCCACTTTTAATTCAGTTAGAGGTGAGCATGCATGCCCCTGTGATTCTATTATGCCATTATTTATGTATACTTCCAGACATGGTACAGGCAGGTATCTTATTTTCTCAGTTTATCTTTAGGCTACTTTATTCACTTTTTTTTTTTTTTCTTTTTGAGATAAGGTCTTACTCTATTGCCCAGGTTATAGTACAGTGGCATTATCATAGCTCAAGCTCCAGGGCTCAAGTAATCCTCCTGCCTGAGCTAGGTGACTCCCACCATATATGGCTAATTTTTCTACATTTTGTAGAGATAATGTTTCCATCTTACTCAGGTTGGTCTTGAACTCCTGGCCTCAAGCCATTCTCCTACCTTGGCCTCCCATAGTGTTTGTTAACATTTGGTGTCTTGATAACAATGGCCTTTATTCATTTAAGCTTGTCTTTTTCTTTCCAGTATCGATTTTACGGAGAACCTGTAGTAAAAGCATGTATTGAAAATGGAACCAGTTGTATTGACATCTGTGGAGAGCCTCAGGTACGTGAAAGGAAAAAACAAAATTAACAACACATGATTTTCTTTTTAATGAAGTAGAAGACATTTTGTGCAATTTTGAGACATTTAGAAGTTGACAGCTTATTTTCGAGTGTTCGCAGATGACATTTCTGTGGTATTCCATATATTCATGGCTTGAAGGAGAACACTGGTGCTGAGGCCTTAGCTTCAGTTTACTTGGATTGCTTTCATCTCTACAACCTCATTTATTTCAGGCCCTTAGTATATGGAATATGCTGATTTTTGCAGCTACTTAATGCTGTAAACTGGATTAATTAAAATGGTATACTATGCATAATTCTCAGAATTTCACTTTTGTAACTTCATTATGGATTTCCTTTTTAAAATCAGGCACTTTTATAACATTACAGAAAATTTAAGATCTCTTCAAGCTAAAAATTTTTAGTACTATTTTTTTTATTTTTATTTATTTATTTTATTTTTTTGAGAGATAGGATCTTGCTTTGTCTCCTAGGCTGGAATGCAGTGGTGTGATCATAGCTTGTCCTAACCTTGAATTCTTGGGCTGAAGCAATCCTCCTGCTCGGCCTCCCAAGTAACTGGACTACAGGCTTGCACCACTATGTCTGGCTGACTGTTTTTTTTATAGAGACAGGCTATTCTTCAGTGCCTGGCTACAAACACTTCTCCCACCTCAGTCTCCCAGTGCTGGGATTATAGGCATGGGCTACCACTTCACCTGGCCTTCTTCCTTTTCTCAGAGATAAGGAAATGGAAGCTTTGGAAGGTTAAGTAACTTGCTCAGAGTCATGTATCTGGTACATAGAACTAGGACTTGAACTGAGGTTTGCCTGACTGTAGGACGTGATGTGTTAATGGTCACTAAGCTATGCTAACACTTTTAAAATGCTAACCTCATAGGTCTCTGTAGTCTGTATTTGATTATTGTCATCAGTGTGCCAGCATAGTATGTGCTTAGAGCTTATCAATTGGTAATGTATATTGGAAAATACTAGGAGGGTGAAATTACCAAAGTTGATGCAAGAATAGGTAGGAAATGTGAATATTTTTTAAAAAGCAATTATTAGGTTATTTAAAATCACTCAGAACATAGAAAATGGTGACAAGCTTGTAAGTCATCCTGTAAGGTACATAAAAATTATATAAAAATCTTTGTTCAATTTTTATATAATTTTTTTATTAACATAGCATGTACCTTAATGCAATCATGGGGTACAATGTGCTGGTTTTATATACCATTTGAAATATTTCATCAAGCTGGTTAACATAGCCTTCACCTCATTTTCTTAGTTATTGTGTTAAGACATTTATACTCTACACTTAGTAAATTTAACATGTATCCTTGTAAAATGCACCATCGGTGTGTCGATTTTTATATAATTGTTATGTACCTTACAAGGATGGGCAATAGAGTAAGACCTTATCTCAAAAAAAAAAAAGTGAATAAAGTAGCCTAAGGATAAATTGAGAAAATAAGATACTAGAATATATAAAGAACTTTTACAAGTCAGTAGTGCAAACACAACCCATTTCAAAAGTGGGCAAAAGGATAAGAAGAGACAAATCTTCCGTACAGAAGAATTCCAAATAATTTATGTAACTGCTGTACTCTCAGGGAGGGGGAGCATAATTTAACAGTGGAGAAACCTGCAAGCACTGCCTTGGCCAGATATTCAAGGTCAGGATCAGAACTGGTAAATCATGTTGATAGTATTTGCCTTGATAAGATGTGATGAGAATGGCACTTTACCCCTGTGGTCTTCCTCTCAAAACCTATTCCCCAGTTTAATCATGAGAAAACTATGAAATAAATCTCAATAAAGAAGCCTTCTATAAAAGACCTGGCCAGTACTCCTCCAAATGGTCAAGGTCATCTGAAACTAGGGAAGTATGAGAAACTGTCACAGCCAAAAGGAGACTTAGGAGACATAACACCTAACTGTACCATAGTATCCTAGATGAGATCCTGGAACAGGAAATGGACATTAAGTAAAAACAAAGGAAATCAGAATAAACTATAGACTTTACCTAATAATGCATCAATAATGGTAAAATATGGTAATAGAGAAACAGGTTTTCAGAGTACATGGGAACTCTCTGCTATTCAAAGTTTCTGTAAATCTAAAACAAGCAAAAGATTTCGACAGACATTATTCCCCTGTCTCCTCTATCATCTCCTTTCCTGCCCCCCTCTACATGCTTAGATCTGTGATGATACTCTTCTGCATAATGCAGTTTGGGGTGCTGGTTTTCTTTTGCTTTTTTTGTGTTTTTAATATTAATTTAATTTTTATAATAGGTATTATTTGTACATTTAAAACAATTCAAGGTGCAGCTTGTGAGGAGGCGCCTCCCAAGCCCAACCTGATTGCAGGAGAGGGCAGGAAGGGCAGACAGAGCACACAGGCCTCTTCCACCCGGGGCTCAGAGGATGTTGTGGCTGGGGCATCGCAGGCCTCACTGTGGCTGCCATTTTCAATTTTCAGAGTCTGTTGACTGTAATCTTGCTGCTTATATGTACCCATGCTTATAGCCAATCCTTGGCACCCAGCCTCCTGGACAGAAATAAAATTAGACTGTTGGGTGTATTCTGAAAGTGTGCCAGAACTGCTGAACAGAAAAGTCCTTGTATCGCACTGTGCTGTGTAGTGATGGCCTTCAGCATCCTCTTCATACTGCAGATTGGAAAAAGGCCAGAATTTAAATGCCATCATATTTCAGTGTGAACAAGGACTTAATCTGCAGAAAAATAAACGGAAGAACGGTTAACCCTTTATCTCCAAACATAGAATGAGATAAATTTCTAGATGCCGTACCTATTTTTGTGTTCTTGGACCAATGTTCTGTATAAATAATTAAGATGTAACCATTTAATACTCAGAAAGTTTAATAGTTTGCAGCAGTCAACCTCAGTGCTGTCACTACAGTATTACATTCTGCAAATGTCATTTTTTATGTCAGACACCAAATTTCAGTGAGGCATTTCTAAGACACACAATAGAACAGAAAATGATACCTTACTCAAGATCCTTTCACTGTGATTTATTGAGAGAAAAATGGTTCTCTCTGTGTTGGTAAGGATTGCATTCATGCTTAATAGTGCGTGCTGTCCCCTGGGCACACCATTTTAATCATTAACCATTCTGATCATTAACCCTCAGCAAGCTCAGTGGTTTAAAGTATTTATCAGAAGCCTGTGCAGTTCTTAAGAAAGAAGAGAAATGAGGTGTGACTTAAAAGTGGTAGTGGAAAAGTTCATGTTTAAAAGAAGAGGACTGAGACTAGTGTAGTAGCCTCGGAGACCCCTGCTCAAGTACAGACGAGTGTCACAAATGTAAGTTTTACCAGCTAGCTGTTCTGTGAAAAGGAGAACATTGGCAAAATGGGAGGAATAAGATAGAATAATTGTAGAACAACAATCCTATAAGTATTTTTTATTCTTTTTAGTGTCACGTCTTCAAAAATGAAATATTCACTGTAATTACCCCCAAATGAACTGTATTTTTGTTTTTTAAACTTTAAATCTAAATGAATAAAAAGTCTTAAAAAATTAAGTGTCGTTAGGTCAGATCTGTATATTTCGTGTACCGCTTGGCACGTGGTAGGTGTTCAGTCTGTATCGCTGAGTAATTGAAAAAACGTTGTGACAGTTAATATTTTGCTGCAGAGCCATATTGGTTAGCATTTTTGAAGTTTAATTTCTTTGTCTTTAAAGAAAATTCATTGAATATTGGTTTGGGTGTTTCTGTATAGTTCTGATTCAGATTCTTGTTCTGAATTTTTTAGTTTCTGGAACTAATACAGTGGAAGTATCATGAGAAAGCTGCAGAAAAAGGGGTTTATATCATTGGAAGCAGTGGCTTTGACTCCATTCCAGCAGATCTGGGAGTAATATATACCAGAAATAAAATGAATGGTAATTATGACCGATAAGCAATAATTGGATTTAATAATAGAAGGACTTCATGTTTGTAACTGTGATGGACTAAAATCTGGTTGGGAAAAGAAACATAGCTATAAGTGAGTAATATTAAAACACATATTTTGTTGTTTCTGTTTTTTTTTTAATTTGTTTTTCTGAGAGAGAGTCTCACTCAGTTGCCTTGGCTAGAGTGCCATGGCATCGTCATAGCTCGTTGAACCTCCAATTCCTGGGCTCAGCCTCCCCAGTAACCGAGATTAGAGGCATGCACCACCACCCTGGCTGGATAATTTATAAAAAAATTTTTTTTTTTGGCTGGTATGTTAGCTCACATCTGTAATCCTAGCACTCTGGGGGACTGAGGTGGGTGGATTGCTTGAACTCACCAGTTTGAGACCAGCCTGAGCAAAAGCGAGACCCTGTCTACCAGAAAAAGTAGAAAAACAGAGGCAAGAGGATCACTTGAGCCCAGGAGTTGGAGGTTTGCTGTGAGCTATGATGCCATGGCACTCTACCCAGGGTGACAGCTTGAGACTCTGTTTTTTAAAAAAAAAATTGTGTTTGTAGAGACAAGGTTGTGCTGTGTTGCTCAGTGTTTTTAATATAGCTACACTTTCATTAAAATGTTTTTGACATTATTGTTGAGATGTGGATAGTACTCTTAAGTGTTTTTTGTTTTTTTTTTTTATTTTAAGAGACAGAGTGTTACTTTGTTGCCGTTGGTAGAGCGCTGTGGTGTCACAGCTCACAGCAACCTCCAGCTCTTGGGCTTAGGCAATTCTCTTGCCTCAGCCTCCCAAGTAGCTGGAATGACAGGTGCCCACCACAACACCTGGCTATTTTTTGGTTGCAGTAATGGTTGTTTAGCAGGCCCAGGTTGGGCTCGAACCTGGCAGCCTTGGTGTATGTGGCTGGCACCCTACTCACTGAGCTATGGGCACTGAGCCTGTCTCAGTTGAGTTACGGTAAGATCTATAAAATTTCTGTGAACAATCTTTGGTAAAATTCAGACTTGCTTTGTTTAGGGATTAACAGATTTTAAAGTATAATTTATACATATGTTATAATTAAAAGATTTAAAATTTTCAACCATCCAAAGCCAGAAAGTATTGAACACAGAATTAAGCATTTTTTTACCCCATTTATGAAATGAAGATAATTATTTAAGAATGGAGAAAATCATCATTATTATAGTAAAACAGTTGAAGTTACACTGATGTCATATGTATTTTTAAAATGTCCACTCAGACAATGACATAAAACAGATGACTCCAGTGCCATTAAACTATTCTAGAGCTTACAATGGTGGAAGGTGCTTCAGTTTCTGTCAAACATAAGCAGAACTGTGAAAGCAAAGCCCAACAAAGGTAGCGCAAATACACACAAAAACTGCAGATCTCATTTGCTTGTGAAATTAGAAGAAAAAAAATTTTCTAGACAAATTAAGGCTCAGGTAATAAACAGATAAACAAAAGAAAATGCTAAGTAAAATTTCAGTAAATACCCAGTAGTAGCCAAGCTCAGTGCTCATGCATGAAATGCCAGCATTTTGGGAGGCTGACGTGGGAGGATTGCTTGAGGGCAAGAATTTGGACCAGCTTAAGCAACACAAGACCTTATCTCTAAAAAATAAAAATAAAAATAAAAAATAAATTGTCTGGGCTTGATGGCTCAAGCCTGTAGTCCCAGGTATTTGGATGAAGTGGGAGGATTGCTCGAGCCCTGGAGTTTGAGGTTGCTGTGAGCTATGACACTGTCCTGAGGGCGACATAGTGATACTCTGTCTCAAAAATAAATAAAAAGAATGCTATATCAAGATCAAGATTTAACACTGGGAAGTTACATAATAATCATATTATTAGATCAGAGGTGAAAAGCTATATATCTGTCTCAGTAAGTGGCTTAAAAATTGAAAATTTATGCCATTTATTGATTTCAGATTTTTAGGAATACTTTGTTACATAATAAGTGTCAGAACACAATAGCCAACATCATACTTAATGATAAAACAATAGAACCATTCCAAAGCCAGTTGTGGTGGCTCATGCCTGTAATCCTAGCACCCTGGGAGGCTGAGGTGGGTGGATTACCTGAGCTCAGGAGTTCAAGAACAGCGTGAGCAAGAGCAAGACCCTGTCTCTACTAAAAATAGAAGAAACTAGCCAGGCATTGTGATGCACACCTGTAGTCCCAGCTATTCAAAAGGTGTGGGAGATAGGTTGATTTTTCAGTGAGGTGCCTCGCCTCAATCCTGGGGTGTTCAGGGGAAAGTGTGCAGACATGGGATCCCTAGGGGTTCATCAAAACTACAGAGAATAAAAAAAAGCCTGGAGGCTCTTGGACAGAACTAATTGCCCCTGTACACACTGAGAGTCAACAAGTGGGAGGGATTGAGTTCTTTGAACTTCTGATATGTAGTTAAATTAGGAAACCTGGCTTACTTCCTCTGTGGGGAAAGTACCAACTCCCTAACTTTTCCCAGTCTCTCTCTCATCTTCCTGGGGACTTGGGATTCCTGGAACCCATCCTTTTGCCATTTTTGCATTTTACATATGTACCTTTGTTAGAAATCAATAAAAGCCTTCTGAATAGGCCAGAGAAGGGCTGCAATTTCTTGGCCTAAGGTAATGCAAGCCTTCTGCAGGCATTCTCAGACTTCATGTTTTAAACTAGCATAAGTTATTTTTCCTTAATGTTGTTTCCCAGTCAGCTTTCAGATCAGGTCTGGGTTTGCGTGAAACTATCCCCTTGACAAGGGAGGCTGAGGCAAGAGGACTGCTTGAGCCCCAAGAGTTTGAGGTTGCTGTGAGCTATGTCGCAGCACTGTGCCCAGGGCATGGAGTGAAATTCTGTCTCAAAAAGGAAAAAAAAGTAGAACTATTACTATTTAAAAAAAGAGGAGGAAGGCACCTGTGGCTCAGTGGGTAGGGCTCTGGCCCCATATACTGAGGGTGGTGGGTTCAAACCTGGCCCCGGCCAAACTGCAACAAAAAATAGCCAGGCGTGGTGGACATGTGTAGTCCCAACCACTCAGGAGGCGGAGGCAAGAGAAGTGCCTAGGCCCAGGAGTTGGAGGTTGCTATGAGCTGTGACACCACAGCACTTCACCAAGGGTGACAAAGTGAGACCCTGTCTCTAAAAAAAATAAATGAATACAAAATAATAATAAAAAGAAGAATGTGAAATTGGGCATCTTTAAAATATTTAGTTTCCCAGTCCATAGACCTAGTATATATCTCCATTTATTAAAAAAAAACTCTTCAAAGTCTGTGAAGTTTATGTTTTCTTCATGATCATCCAGTATTTGTTATTGAGGTTATTTCTAAATATTTAGTCATCGTTTTGTTGTCACTTTGGATAGATCTTTTTATTCTTAAGGGAAAAATGTTAATTTAAGATTTGTGGCTCGGCGCCTATAGCTCAACCAGCTAGGGCGCCAGCCACATACACCTAAGGTGGCGGGTTCGAATCCCCAGCCTGAACCTGCCAAACAACAATGATGGCTGCAACCAAAAAATGGCCGGGTGTTGTGGCTGGCACCTGTGGTCCCAGCTACTTGGGAGGCAGAGGCAGGAGACTTGCTTGAGCCCAGGAGTTGGAGGTTGCTGTGAGCTGTAATGCCACGGCACTCTACCCAGGGGGACAGCTCGAGGCTCTGTCTCAAAGAAAAAAAAAAAAGATTTGTAAGGACATTTATTTTCAGATATTGGAACCTAGAATTCAGCATTTTAATAAGTACCCTGCTGATTGGGGTGCAGGTGTCTGTGTTTTATTAGATTACTGTTCTTGGTTCATATTCTTTCTATGGATAGGGTTAGGTCACAGAGCCATATACCTAGGTTAATTTCTATGGTTATTTTATCAGATTTTGAGAATTAGCCTTTTCTTCTTCCCTTTCCTTTCCTTTTTTTTTTTTTTAGACAGAGTTTGGCTCTGTTGCCCAGGCTATGATGTCATCATAGCTCACTGTAACCTAAAATTGCTGAGCTCAAGCATCCTCCTACCTCAGCCTCAGCATCCCAAGTAGCGGGGTCTACAGGCACGCATTACCATGCCTGGCTAATTTTTTAAAAATTTTGTAGAGACAAAATCTTACTATGTTGCTCCAACTGGTCTCAAGCTCCTGATCTTAAGCGATCCTCCCACCCTGACCACCCAGCATGCTGGGATTACAGGCATGAGCCCATACTTGGCCCATTATGTTTTTCTTCTGCCTTACCATTCTTGAGAAACTCAGTAATCAAACACTTAACCACTACGCCTATACAGGGTGGCCATTAGGTTCATGTGCATTTTTTAAAATGGCACACTGTTTTAAATTGCACATGGACTTTGTGGCCACTGTATATTATTCTTCATAGTTAATAGAATTGATTTCTCCCTTTTTTTCTGGCTTTGGTTTTTGATTTATATTTCATACTTACATTTTTATTTCTTTTTAATAGCTTTGTTTATAAGCCATCTCAGGGTGTGTTTTTGACAGTCTTTCTGTGCTTTCATTATAAGCCACCACTACATAAGCCTCTTGACAGCTTTGTATTTAAAAATGAGACAATTCCCATAAATTTAATTTTGGGAATTTAATTTGGGGGGCCTGATGGGCCTTCTGGAATGAGTGAGCTAAATTGTTGCCTTATTGAGGGAGACTCTTAGTGTTTTCAGTATAATACTAGAAAAAAGTTTAGTATTAGCAGTTAGAGTTTATACTAACTTTTTTTATGATTTACCTGGCTTTGGCTGCTTCTAAAGTCTATTTACACAAATGTAATAAAACTGTTATTTGTACAGGTTTTCCTACTTTATCAGCTATAGGCTTAGTAAAGGTGGGCTCCGAGTGAATAGGAATTGTTTGTTGTTACTTGTTCTGGCTAAATAATTTAGATTTAATTTGATTTTACTTTTACCATTTTCTTACTCTTTCAGGTACTTTGACTGCTGTGGAAAGTTTCCTGACTATACACTCAGGACCTGAGGTTAGTTTTTCTGTTTGTCAAGTGTTTTTTTCAAGTAAATATTAAAAACATTTTAGAAATGATTCACGTATCTTAAAAAATATTTAGATTAATTGAATTTTTAATATATTTATAATTTTTAATGTATAAAAGTCACTTTGTTTTAAAAGTAAAGACACTAAATTACCAAGATTACTTTGATTTAAAATCTATTACAAACAACTGCACAGTTCATTATATTAAAGTAAATTACTGTGATCTCAACACTAAAGTATCTGCTGTGCAATAAATGTTGCCAACCAGGAAAATTATCACATTAGTGTGAATCAGTGTGTTTTTACTATGTGTTTGACTTGGAGTTAGTGACTGTTGTGACCATAAAAGAAATGTCTGAAGTAAATCTCGTCTTACTGAATTTACAGTCTATTTGGGAACATAAAATAGTTGCATTTCTGGGAAGGGATCATATTTTACAATATATTGCCAGTAGTGCTTAGCCAAATTCTAGATACCTTCTATGGTTTCGTAACTTGGCTTGGTCCCCGTAGCTCAGTTGTTAGGGCCCTGGCCACATACACCTGGGCTGGCGGGTTCAAACCACACGCGGGCCTACTAAACAACAATGACAACAACAACAAAAATACCCGGGCATTGTGGCAGGCGCCTGTAATTCCAGCTACTTGGGAGACTGAGGCAAGAGAATCGCTTAAGCCCAAGAGTTTGAGGTTTTTGTGAGCTGTGACTCCCCAATACTCTACTAAGGGCAACATAGTGAGACTCTGTCTCAAAACAAAATAAAACAAACTATATTGTATAGAGATGAATACTTAGGTAATAAAACTGTAAAGAAATGGATTTTTCTTGGTCACTGTAAAGAAAAGACAGAAGGACAGCCTTCTTGGCTGCTGGCTGCAGTTGTAATCTTGACCTGGATGGTTACCTATATACTTCAATTGTACGTTTTATGTATCGTCCACTTTTCTTTGTGTTATATTTCTCAATGAAACAAGGTTAACATTTTTTAAAAGAATTGAATGTAATTTTTGTCTTTTTGATGGATTATTTGCTTAAGAAAATATTTTTAGATTTTTAAAAAGCCATTTTTTCCCTACCGTTTGGAAATCTTTATATTTGCAAATAGGTCAGATTAACTAGGCCAGGTTGAATGGTTTAACACGTTAGACCTTTGAGACTTTTAGTTCTGTTATAGGTTTGGTGTCTCTGCTTTTCAATGTCATCAAAGCTAGGATATGAAAACCCAATCTTCTAATGATTTCATGGTTTCTCTTATTCTGCTTATTAACAATCAAAGATACCTGCCTCTTTTAAATTCTTGTGACATAGTTGGTTTTGAATCTTCCTATATGACTTTGTTCATTTCAACAGTATAAACAAGGAAGGACATAGTACAATTATGTACAATCAAAATAATAAATGAAGTTTAAAATATTTATGTAATAAAGAATTAAAAGGCCTACCTAGAGGTTGGGTAAAGAAGGGTCACGTCCTCTCCCGGGTTCCCCTTTTTACCCCTCATTTCTCAGTGGAGTAGGAGGTAAGGGTTGGGGAAGATATGATGGTACTGGAAGAATAGAAAGCAGTGAGCACTAAGATTCCCATGAGAGAGATGAAAAATAAATGGATGAATGAGAGTCTGGGTGGGAAGCAAATACTAAGGATTCTTGGCCAGGTGTGATAGTTTATGCCTATAATCCTAGCACTTTGGGAGGCCAAGGTGGGAGGATTGCTTGAGGCCAGGAGTTTGAGGTCAGCCTGAGCAACATAATGAGACCCAGACTCTGCAAAAAACAGAAAAATTAGACAGGTGTGGTGGTACATGCTTGTAGTCCCAGCTACTCGGGAGGCTGAGGCAGGTGGATCACTGGAGCCCAGTAGTTTGAGGTTGCAGTGAGCTGTGAGGATGCCATTGCACTCTTGCCCAGGAAACAGATTAAGGAAAGAAAAGGGTTCTGTACTGACTACAGTACCAAAAAGAAATGGAAGGATTGAGGAAATAAAACATAAATCATATTATAAACTTCAGAATTTATATATACGTATATATATATTTCAATAAGACTTCTGCTGAAAAGACAGGTATATAATTTGTGCTAGAATAAATGGAGATGGAGGTGGATGGGGACATGAGCATAACAGGATGGATAGATAGTAAGCTGTGTGTATAGGCACGAGTATGCATAGGATATAACTTGAAATTTTGAAGGATCAGCATAGGCTAGGAATAGGATTAGAGTGGCTAATTGTTTGTTTGTTTTGTTTTGTTTTTTGGAGACAGACTCTCACTATGTTGCTCTCAGTAGAGTGCTGTGGCATCACAGCTCACAGGAACCTCAGACTCTTGGGCTTAAGTGATTCTCTTGCCTCAGCCTCCTAAGTAGCTGGGACTACAGGTGTCGGTCACAATGCCTGGCTTTTTGTTGTTGTTGTTGCAGTTGTCATTGTTTAGCAGGCCTGGGTTGGGTTCGAACCCGCCAGCTCCATTGTATGTGGCTGCTGCCCTAACTACTGAGCTACGGGCACCAAGCCATAGAGTGGCTAATTCTGAAGGAATGTAGTCAACTAACTGAATAGCATAACTAAATTACTTATTATAGAGAGCATAAATAATGGCAGGAAGAAAGAAGAAAGGGCTTTTTTTGGTATAAATATTGAATATGATCAAGGAGTGTTAGGAGTGTTACTGCTGCCTAGCTGGCCGTAAAAATTTATCTCAAGTTTATTATATAAGGGATTATTTAATAATCTTGCCCCAAGTAGATGTGAAAAATTATTTGTAACAATTTTAAGTTTCTTGATTTGATTTTACATTTTCATAATTACCCCTTAAGACAGGTTTCTTTAATGCTTGTAATATTTTATTAGGGGATATGCATTCATGATGGTACCTGGAAGTCAGCAGTTTATGGTTTTGGAAATAAGAGTAATTTGAGACGACTACGACACGGATCAAATGTGAAACCTATTCCAATTGTTGGTCCAAAATTGAAAAGAAGGTATGTTAACTCTGAATCTATTCTTTAATGTATCTCAGGTGATCTAAGTATATTGTTGTTGGATTTGCTATTAATAAAGTAAAGCTTTAGTCTCTAAGAAAAGCTTAGAGACTATTTTGTAGTAAGTGCAGTATTGTTTTTAGTACACTGCTGCAAGCTTTAGGACTCCGTGTATAATAACATACTTGAACGCTAGGAAGTGATTTTATGATGGCTTTTCACTATCAATATCAAAATTAAATGTCAGTTGCTTTTTATGCATTAAAACCACCATCTTAAAGTGTGCTGATCTTAAGGTAGATTAATCTTACATAAGCTTAATTTAGACATAGGAGTTAGGAGGTGGGCTTTTGAAATGAGTGTTCTTTTTATTATCTGGGGAAATTGATGGAGGAAAACACAGTTAAATTACATGTGTTCAGAGTCCACGACCTGCTGGATACTACACCACTTCACTTGTCATTTATTTGGGTGTAAGTGTAGAGAACAAAGGAAGAATTACTGAAATAAATTTCAATTAAAAGCAAATCTACCATCTTTATTGTTATTATTCCTTCAAGAAAAGTTACTATTTTATTCAAACATTTATCAGCTGAAGTTATGGTCACTGCAATCAGAGAAAATGCAAAATATTGATGGGTCTGTCTTGTAGGTGGCCAATTTATTTCTGTAGAGAACTCAACGAATATTCTGTTCCTTTCCTGGGATCTGATGCGTCTGTTGTGAAGCGGACTCAGCGTTACTTGTATGAAAATTTAGAGGAATCACCAGTAAGTATATGTGGTTTATTTATTAGTAAAGAGTATTTTATGTTTATTATAGTTGCCTTATCTATTTAACATAGGATATTTTTATTTAGAAAGCAGAAAAAAAAAAAAGAGCTAAGTAATGCTTGTTTCAGCTTCCAGAAATAGAATTGTTTTATATAGATAGATATTTCTTAGATACAGTCTCACTATGTCACCCTTGGTAGAGTGGTATGGTATCACAGCTCACAGCAGCCTCAAAATCTTGGGCTTATGCGAGTCTCTTGCCTCAGCCTCCCAGGTACCTGGAACTACAGGCATCCGCCACAATGCCCAGTTGGTTTTTGGTTGTAGTTGCCATTGTTGTGTGGCAGGCCTGGGCTGGATTCAGTCCTACCAACTCTGGTGTATGTGGCTGGCACCCTAGCCTCTGAGCTATAGGCACCGAGCCAGCGTTTTATATTTTGGGGTAGTGATAGCCATGCCCCATGATTCAAATCTTGCCTGTTGAACATCTTTTTAATATAATACAACAGCAATTCAGTATAAGAAATCCGGGTGTCATTGACCATCCAACAATCCCTATTTAGTGTTTCAGCTGCTAGAAACAGCCTTTATTGCTTGTGGAGCTATCTGGGACCTTTCTCTTCCTTTTCTCCTTGCTACGTCTGGAGTACCACCATACTCCTCTGGTGCGGGAAGTAATTGCTTTCACTGCTAAGACTCAAGAGCAAACTTACAAGCACTCTGGGGGGCCAAGGTGGGTGGATTGCTTGCGCTTAGGAGTTCAAGACCAGCCTGACCAAGAGTGAGATCCCATTTCCACTAAAATAGACAAATTAGCTTGGTATTGTGGCAGGTGCCTACAGTCCCAGCTACTTGGGAAGTTGAGACAGGAGGATTGTTGAGCCCACCCTACCTAGGGTAACAGAGTGAGACTTTAAAAAAAAAAAGCCATCTATATCTCAGGTTAAAAAGTGAAGGATGTTTTCTCATAGGAAGGTTTGTAAATGAAGTCTACATTCTGCAATGTATTGTTGCTAAACTCAGATATACATTATGGGTTATATGGACTTCTGTGTTCAATCAAATAGGGGAAGCTAATTAATTACCATTTGTAATAGTGTCTTTAAAAAGTAATCTTCCAGTGTCTGGTTTCTGAACAGGCTTTTAGATTATAATGCATTCATAAGGTGGAAACTGCTTTTGTTTCATATTGGTGACTGAAGAGAAAGTTATAAGTAGTCAGCATCCTTGTATTTCTTGGTCTAAAATGTAGGGAGTAAAAGTTCTAACTTTATATTCTCAATCTAGGTTCAATATGCTGCTTATATAACTGTGGGAGGCATCACCTCTGTTATTAAGCTCATGTTTGCAGGACTTTTCTTTTTATTTTTTGTGAGGTTTGGCATTGGAAGGCAACTTCTCATAAAAGTAAGTAAGATTTTATGAACTTGATTTTAGAAATATTTTCCATGGTTTTTAAAAATGCCACTGAGGTTTTGGATATTTTGTTTTTTTTCCTCTTTAGTTCCCATGGCTCTTCTCCTTTGGCTATTTTTCAAAACAAGGTCCCACACAAAAACAGGTAATCCTTTTTCTTTGTATTCAGAACTATAAAATAATATTTTCTTATATTGTTACTCTTCCTCAGTGTAGTGACAGTATCATCTAAGGCTTGATTGAGTACTTATTCTATTCCAGACACACTTTTAAATTCTTTACATAAGTCATATTACTCAATCTTTTCAAATACTCCTTGTATGTATGTATTGTTATTATCTGGTTTACAGATGGGGGAACTGAGGCTAAGAAACTTGCCCAAGGTTCTACAGCTAGTAAATGGCCAAGCTGGGATGAGAACCCAGCCATCCCATCCAGAAAATACGTACTCTTTACTTCACAGAAATCTCAAATATTTTTACTTCTCTGTTTTTCTCCCCTTTTATTTTTTCCTCGTGCCTCCCCTACCCTCATATTTCACTTTCTCTTCTACATGGGAATTTACTTCATTACATGGGAATGTAGTGATTGGTAGATGAAGTAAACTACCCTGCATCTAATATCCTCAGCAACAGGACTGCCTTGATTTCTGCCATTTGGCTCACAGATCCCACCCTGAGTCATTTAAGAGGACCCACTTCTCACTCATTCTCCTTAAATGACCTCAGCAGAGCCCTTAACAGATAGTTTATATCTCCAGATTTATGTATCTGTCTATTTATTAGACACATATTCTCCAGATATTTCAAACTCAATATGTCAAAGTCTGAATTTTTCTTTTTTGAGACAGAGTCTCATTATGTTGCCCTCGGTAAAGTGTTGTGGCATCACAGCTCACAGCAATCTCCAACTCTTGGTCTTAAGGGATTCTCTTGCCTCAGCCTCCCAAGTAGCTGGGACCATAGGCGCCCACCACAACTCCCATCTACTTTTTTGTTGCAGTTGTCATTGTTGTTTAGCAGTCTCGGGCCAGGCTTGAACCCACCAGCTTCGGTGTATGTGGCAGGCGCTCTACTCACTGAGCTACAAGCTCCAAGCCAAAGTCTGAACTTCTTTTCCCAAACTCTTCTTCCTTTTGTATTTCCCATCTCAGTTGGTGGTACTATCATCTACTCAGCCAGAAATACAGGTATCATTCTAGACTTTTCTCCAGACCTGTCACAGCTGCCTTGGTCAGGCCTTTAGCTCTCTCCTTTTCTTCTAAGTGTGGTGAAATACACAGAACCTAAAATTTACCATCTTACCCATTTGTAAGTTTTGAGTGGCATTAAGTACATTTATATTATTTTATAATCATTCGCCTTTAGAACACTTTTCATCTTGCAGAACTAAAACTGTTCCCGTTAAACAGTAACTCCCTACCTCCTTCTCCCCTAGCTCCTGGCAGCCACCATTGTGTCTCTGAATTTGACTACTGTACATGCCTCATATGAATGGAGTCAGGCAGTCTTTGTCTTTTGTGACTGGCTTACTTCGCTTAGCATAATTGCCTTAAGGTTCGTTCATAGTGTAGCACATGTCAAAATTTCCATCCCTTTAAATTTGAATAATATTTTATTATATGTAGATGCCCCATTTTATCCATTCATTTGTCAGTGGACACTTGGGTTACTTCCTGCTTTTGGCTATTATAAATCATGGCACTGTGAACAAATACCTGTTTAAGACCCTGCTTTAAGGCCCAGTGTGGCGGCTCACGTAAACCCAGCACTCTGGGAGGCTAAGGTGGATAGATGGCCTGGGCTCAGGAGCTCGAGACCAGTCTAAACAAAGTGAGACCCCATCTGTACAAACAGAAAAACTAGCCAGGGATTGTGGAAAGTGCCTGTAGCCCCAGCTACTTGGGAGGCTGAGACAAGAGGATTGCTTGAGCCCAAAGAATTTGAGGTTGCTGTGAGCTATGATGACAGGGCACTCTACCCATGGTGACGGAGTGAGACTCTGTCTCAAAGAAAAAAAAAGTCCCTGCTTTAAATTCTTTTGGGTGTATACCCAGATGTGGACTTGCTGGATCACAGGCTAACTCTGTATTTAGTTTTTTAAGGAGCCACTAAATGGTTCTCCATTGTGGCCGTAGCCTTTTACCTTCCCACCAGTGGCACAGCAGGGTTCCACATTTTCCTTTTCTTCCCCAGCATTTATAATTTTCTGAGGTTTTGCGGTTCTTTTTTTTTTTTTTTGGATAGCATATATCCTTGTGGGTGTGAGGTGGCATCTTGTGGCTTTGATTTACCTTGACCTAATGGTTAGTGCTGTTGAGCATCTGTTCATGTGCTTATTGGTCATCTGTACTATCTTCTTTGGGGAAATGTCTATTTAAATTAGGTGTTTGTTTTTGTTGAGTTTTAGGAGTTTCGTATATATTCTGGATATAAATCTCACAGCTGAACTTTTTGTAGCCTTCCTCTTGTTTCTTTCTAATCCATCTTCTACTGTCAAGAGACCTTTGTAAGACAGAAAATCCGACCTTATCATTGCCTTCTTTGAAAAATTTCCTTGACTCACTGCTTTAGCGTGATTTTAACTGGGATTTGAGACATCAAACTCACCTATGGAGCTTTTTTCAAATGCATAGGCCTCACCCTGCTTCTGGATATTCTGATTAAGTAGGTCTGGCATAGGGCCTGAAGGTATAGGCATAGGGCCTGAAGGGAACAGTGGTTCCCAACTTTGGAAGAAGACCTCAAACTGATGACCAGAATTCTGATTCAGTTGATCTGGAATACGGCATGAGCATTGGGATTTTGATTCCAAGTCAGGTTTGGGTGATTTTGGAACATACTCTAGAACATGACTGGCTGGAAGTCCACCCCAGAGGTGTGAGGTCATCCTAGGCTCCCCGTGATTTAGTCTTGGATGCCAGCTAGGTTTCATTTTTTTATCCAGCTCTGATTAATTGTAGTAGCAACCCAGAGACTATGTTGAAAATAGTTCTGGGCTCGGCGCCTATAGCTCAACCGGCTAAGGCGCCAGCCACGTACACCTAAGGTGGCGGGTTCGAATCCCCAGCCCGGACCCGCCAA